TCGGTGGTTCAGACTTGCCAGCCACTCCTCGAAAACCTTATACAGGATTGCTATGAGAGGGAACTAACGCAACTACACTTAACAACAGCAACATTGTTTGATCTTAAGATGATTTCAGTGGATATTTTGGTTTAAGGTTTAAAGATGACCTCAGGGCAATAGTTTCAAGGGTTCATCCAACCTTTACAACACCAGAAAATCTAAAGTCCATGAGAATTTGAAATTCTGTTCTGCATTTTCTTTCTTTTTATTCTTTTACAGAATCTTTGATCAAAATGTTCACTAATGTTGTTGTTATGTGCCATGGAGTAGGTTCCAACTCATAGCTACCCTGTACAGTGTTTCCAAGGCTATAAATCTTTACGGGAGCAGAACACCTCCATTTTCTCCCAAGGAACAGCTGGTAGTTTCGAACTACTGACCCTGAGGTTAACAGCCAGATTCGTAACCACTATATATAATGGTAGTTGTTGTTGTTAAGTACCCTTGAGTCTATTCTAACGCATAGCGACCCTGTAGAGGGTTTTCAAGAAGCAGCTGGTGAGCTTGAACCACCAATGTTACAGTTCAAAGGACTTTGCAGTCTGACGCATTAGCCCACAGCGCCACACTAGGACTATAATGGTAGCCATCCATTTTTTCTGGTCTCTTGGCAAAGAAGGCAGTTGTTTATGGATGCAAGTAGCTATGCATTCTATATCCTCCACCTATTTCTGAGTCTTTTTCATTTGTGATTCCAGGCATAAAGAGACCAAGTGTTGTGCCTTGGATGGCCGCCTGCAAGTCTTTAAGTCCCCAGGCACTATACAATGAACAAGGAGGTAGAACAAAAGCATTAAATTATTAGGCCAATTAACTGGGATACCCCCATGAAATTATGACCCTGAACCTCCAAAGCAAGAACTGCTATTAATAAAAAGTCAAGAAATGATTTTCATGCTAAAAGAAACATTTTGTGACAGTTACCAGGGGTGGGAGGAAAGGAATTTGTTCACTGACTGGAAGGTAGACTTGGGTGAGAGGAAAGGCAGGTGAAAATTCAAAAGAAGAAACCATACATTCTTAGAAAAAAAAAAATTGTGTGAATAAGAAAAATGATAATTTCTTTCACTAAAAATCATAATAAAAATTAATGAGAAAACAAATAAATAAAAGCAGCCTCAACTGGTAGTCTTTTTTTTTTTTTTTTTTGGTCATTGTTGTAAATACATGTATTAGACACTCATTTTCTTTTTTGTGTTGACAATAAACCAAGCCCAATATAAAAACCAAAACCCAAATCTCCTGTCATCAAGTTGATTCTGACTCACAGCGACTCCGTAGGACAGAGTAGAACTGCCCATAGAGTTTTCAAGGCTGTGCATCTTTTTGGAAACACACTGCCACATCTTTCTTTTGCAGAGCAGCTGGTGGGTTTGAAACACCAACCTTTAAGTTTATAACCAAGCACATCAACCCTCATGACACCAAGGAATCTTAAAACATAAAGCCCAATATAAAGATATATAAAAACCAAATCAGTTGGCATCAAGTCAGTTCTGACTCATGGTTGGCCCCATATGTGTCCGAGTAGAACTGTACTTCTCTTAGAGTTTTCAGTAACTGATTTTTTGGGAGAAGTTTTCCAGGCCTTTCTTCTAAGGTGTCCCTGAGTGGACTCGAACCTCTAGCCATTTGTACTACTCAATATTCCTATATAAAAACATATAGTGTGTTAAGTATACGCGCCCTTCCCATCCTGCTAAGTCACTTTGGTATATGGAACAGAGGGCTAACTTTGTACCTTTACTGCCTATTCCTGGATGGAAGGATATTGACCACTTTGGTAAGAGTGCATGCAAGTACCAGGGTAACAGTTTTTCCCTGATCCATGCCAATTCATTTGAAACTAGCAATCTAGAATTTCTCTATGGGGACTTAAATAAATAAACTCAATAACAACCTTAATTTGAATATATGATAGTTGGTGGACATAGAAAGCCAATTTTGGGACTTTGTTTCCTTATGCTTTTTACTGCATCTAGAAATATACCATTCGCTCCGCGGAGCCGCTATACAGGGTCACTATGAGTCAGAGCGGACTCAACAGTACTTAACCACAACAATAGAAATATCTTTATTGAATTGTACATTAAAATTGTTCCTGGCCTTTGTAGAGGTAAATATATTTGTTATTATGGTTTGAAGTCACTGAAAATTGTTCATTTATTACACACTATGAGCAAGGCCAAGGACCCCTGATGTAGTGCTGTAGATTCAGCACTGGACGGAGAGCCACTAGGTCGGCAGTTCAAGCCCACCAGCTGCTCCTTGGAAACCCTATACAGGGTCGCTATGAGTCGGAACCAACTTGACAGCACTTAACAACATGTGCAGGGCAGACTCATCTAGCAGCACCAGGGAAGAAAGGCCTGGTGATTTGCATCCAGAAAGATTGCAGCCAAGAAAATTGTATGGAGGTTGCTATGAGTAGGGATCGACTCAGCAGCCATAGGGGTTTTTGGTTCTATGTGCAAGGTGTAGTCCTTAATACATTTGGAGATATCCCCCTTAATTTACTATCAAATGGCCCTCATAAGACCCTATAACCATTTCATGTAGTAAATTCTAAATTTGTGAGTTCCAGGAAAAATTCTATCTCTAAAGGTACTTTTTTTCTTACTTTATTTTGTCAGAAACTGGAAAATTCACAGCAACGTGTTTTCTTTTCTGCTTCAACAGCCAGAAAACTTAGAGCCAAATTTTGTCAGTAACCTTATCTTTGGAGCTTGGTAGCATCTGCTCCTTTTTCCTTTACTTGGTCTCTGTTTTGTATCCCTAATTGATTTATTCTACATTTTTTAAGTTGTTAGCTACGGTAGACATTCTTGAGGGAAAGACTGGTCATTTGTTTTTATAAGCAGATAGTTTGATGTAGCACATACTTACCTTAGCCTAGGTCCAGTAAGAAAGGAATGCAGTGGATGTATCTGAAGGATGAAGAACAAGCATGGCGGGGGGGGGAGGGGCATGCAATGGGCAAATGTACATGAAGCAGAAGAAGACAACAAAAGATTAGAGTAAATGATTTGGAACATCATTTATAAAAATGCTTTAGTTACTATTTGTGTGAGCACAAGGTCTTACAGAAATGTCCATTGATGAAACTGTAGCTGTACCCAGTGAAGTCACATTCAACAGGCTGGTTTATTGTAAATCTTTGCACTTTGGAGGATAAGTGCATTGAATTGTTCGCTGTTTGTATGGTACTGTTCCTTAGCCCATTTTTGCTGGAGTACTTTATTGACTTCCAGAGCAAATGCCATGGGTGGACAGGAGAAGGCAAGTCTTCCTTCTCAACTCTGGAGTTAGACTCACGGTTGTTTGTTGGTTAGTTAAGTGAGCATGTGGTGAGTTTTGAAGATGATGGAGCTTCTCAAGAGAAATGTGCTTTTAATTTCAAAAAGTACTTACAAAGAAATAGAAACTTATAGTTTTTTTGGTCAAAGAATTGACTTCTGCTATTTTCATATATTTTCTGCATAAATTATCCTTGTCAACTGCAATAAATTTCAATATTTTTGGCTTTGAAAAGATCAGTTCATGTTCTGTGACTTTTAATAGGGAAATGGCTTTTACAGAGTCATAGAGGTGGGATATTTGGTTCTGAACACCAGTTTGCTTTCTGTTTTTAATGAACACACATGTATATATTTGTTTTCAAAGGTTAACATGCTTTAGCAGTGTAATTGCCTAGCCATAAATTTAAATAATCTTATAATACATTGTATATACTAGAGATTGGAGGCAAGAAATTGCCCTTTCCTAAAAATCTTTTCATCTTTGGAGAAGTAAAAATGCAAGTTTGTAGAGAGTGACATTGTTTGATCATTGAGTTAACATTAGTTAATTACTTTTATTTTGAAGATTGCTTTTATTAAGATTGTATGTAAATATGCATATGGATGTTCCTAGCTATGAGTTTTTCATCTAAACTAGAAAAGGAAAACAAAACATAAAAGTCTAATTTTCGTTGAAAATAACCTTCAATACCAATTTTGATGCAAGTATATAATTAAAGTTGTATGATACCAACTACTTGTATTTTTTAAACACTGTCAGTCAGATATGAAAGATGAGTATTGTGAGTGGATTTGGAAGGATTCTGTACATTCAGAGATTCTTTAAGGGGATTGGTGTTAGACACACTTAGAGTCTCCATGAATTGGCGCTAACCTGATGGCAGCGGGTCGGTTGGTGGTTTATACAGACGGAATTTACTTAATAGCTGGTCACAAAAGATTCTGGAGTGGACTGGGGCTTATGAAGTGAAATATATGTTGTTGGCTCCAAATTATAGCATGTCAGACAGAGAAACCTGGTGCTGAACTTAATGCACCACATTAATGACCTCATCTCCCCTCCTAATAAATACCCTTTGGTGGATTACTGCTATTTAGACTGGGAGGCACGCATTGACAGCCACGGGAGGATCTTCTACGTGGATCATGTAAACCGAACCACAACGTGGCAGCGGCCAACAGCTCCCCCAGCCCCACAGATGCTTCAGAGATCCAACTCCATACAGCAAATGGAGCAGCTGAACCGGCGGTGAGGATGGGCACTTTGCTCCGGCTGTTCTGTTTTATACTTGGGCTCATTTTCACATGGCACAAAGGCGAAGATATGGTTGTCTCTTTCACCTGTGGATATCCTTCATTAAGTAGTAACTCTTGATTCTTAGGCTTCCCTGGACTTCTCTTGGTTATAAAATAATACAATCTCTTGGTTACAAAAAGAAAACCATACCTGCATACACCTTGCTTGGAAACTGGAGAGAACATAAGTAATGATGACCCCTGTCTGTAGTCAACTCAAGGCATTGATTTTTAGTAAAACAGAATGTGTACATTCATAAATTTAATCCAAGTAGTCTGTAGACTGTCCAGAATCTTCATTTGTGTTGCATCTTAATGCGCCAGACTGCAAAGCTGTTTGAACTGCAAGGTTGACAGTTCAAGCTCACCAGCTGCTCCTTGGAAGCCCTATACAGGGTCGCTATGGGTCGAAACTGACTCAACAGCACTTAACAACAACACTTTTAAAATCTGTTGGCCTCGTTCAAGAACTAATTGCTATAGAACATAACAGTATAGGAATTTTATTCTCTTTGGTTGCTGCAACATTTTTTAAAGTTTTAGTAGTATATAAAGAAAATGTTCCATAAACCATGACTAAAAGAAATTTATAGCAGTGTATTTTTGTAGACAGTAGATGACACAGAAAATCAGGAGTGGGCTGTTAGAGGGAGAAAGAGAAAACTTCTGAGTTCTGGGAGAGACGTTGAGTTCCACCTTTTAGAGTGCCCTGCAATGTAACTCTAGGATCATGCTTTTAGATATCAGAGTATCCGAAGAACTATGACTAACGAGAGACCTGAGGAAAACAGCAATACTCTTGATGGGGCAGGGGAGGAAGGCGACTTTCATCAAGCCAGTGCAGGTAAGAGCCTTTGTGTGGCTTTGCATGTCGGTTTTTGTCACCCTCATCAAAGTAGACAGAAAATAGGGATTCCCAAAAATTGAAGATTTGCTTTTTAGAGAACTTTGGATTTTCAGTAAGAACTCATAATACAACTACAAAAGTGGAATTCACCAGAGAGCTTTTCTAACCCTGAGCTGTTTTGTTAGTACTAAGGAAAGAATCACAAACCCAAATAGACTGTGAATTACTTTAATCTCTAGGTTTGGACACTGAAAAAGAACCTCACCAACGAAAACATATAAGGGTAAATTAAAGTGTTAATGGTGACTGAAACTATTTTTCAATTCCAATTTTGAATAATTAAGGAGTGCTGGTGGCCTGCATTGGGCTTCACTGGCTGTCCTAAGGGAGAAAATTGAAGCTGTTGACTCCTGTCAAGATTTGCAGCTTGAAAATTCTAGATAGGGTCGCTATGAGTCAGAATCAACTCGGTGACAGTGAACTTGGGTTTGGTTTGTGTTAGTGGTTCAACATGAAGATTCATGGTACACAGTGGTTAATCACTTGAGTAGTAACTAAAAAGTTGATGGTTCGAACCCACCAGCCACTCCACAAGACAAAAATATGGCTGTCTGCTTCTGTAGAGATTACAGCCTTAGAAATCCCGCACAGCAGTCCCACTCTGTCCTACAGGGGCACTGTGCATCAGAATCGGCTTTACAGTTTATATTATAAACTTTTGAGTGGCATAACTATTTAGTGCTTAGCTTCTGGCAGGTTGATAGGTCAAACCCATCCAGTGGCTCCAGGGGAGGATGACCTGGCAATCTGCTTCCCTAAAGCTGACAGCCTAGAATGCCGGATGGGACACTTACTCTGTCACATGTGATCACTCTGAATTGAAGTCAACTTGATGGCACCTGACAACAAGAGCAGTCAGCTGTTGTGTCTAAATTTATACCCAAGAAAAAGATATTTGGGGGATTAAAACAATAGCAAATGGCAGAAGTAATTCTTTAGTTCTTTCAAAATTATCTAGCTTGAAGCGAATAGACATAAGCATGTGGAGAGATTCCTCTGAGTGCCTGTGCTTGGCCCCGTCTAGATTTCCGACGGGAGAACGTGCTGCCCCACTCGACCTCCCGGTCCAGACTCACACTGCTGTTACAGTCTCCCCCTGTGAAGTTCCTCACCAGCCCAGAGTTCTTCACCGTGCTGCATTCGAACCCTGTGAGTACCAAACCTGGAAGAATATAGTGGAAAAGAAACAGGCCAAACATAATGAATAGTAGGAATGGTCATTTGTTAAGCACTATACTTTAAGGTAAGGAGCTCTGGTAGCATAGTGGTTACGAATCGGGCTGAGAACCTCAGGATCAGCAGTTCGAAACTACCAGTTGTACCGTGGGGAAAAAAATGAGTCTTCTGCTCCCGTAAAGATTTATAGCCTCAGAAACCCTGTACGGGGTCGCTATGAGTTGGACCCAACTCCACGGCACATAACAACAACATACTTCAAGGTCAGTTTGAACTGCAAGTTTGGTTCAAAACTCACCAGGCACTCCCCGTAAACCCTATACAGGGTCTCTATGACTTGGAACCAACCCGATTGCATTTAACAACAGCAACAACAGACTCTGTATTATTATGTATGCATTAATGAACACATTTAATCTAAACAAACCTGTAAATTAGTCTGAAACTCCCATTTTTCTACAAGAAGCAATGAAGGCACAGAAAAGGTTCCATAACAACTAAGTGGTATCGTTGGGAATAAAATCCATGGGCTACTGACTCCAGAGTCCATGCTCTTAATGACCACACTATATTGCTTGTTGTAAGGTGCTGTTCGGTTGGTTCTGATTTGTATCAACCCTCTGCACAACAGAATGAAACACTACCCGGCCCTGTACCATCCTCACAATTGTTGTCACGTTTGAGTGCATTGTTGCTGCCGCTGTATCAGTCTGTCTCACTGGGTGTCTTCCCCCTTTTCACTGATCCTCCACTTTATTAAGTACAGTGTCCTTCCCCTGGCACTGGTCTTTCCTGTCAACATGTCTAAAGTATGAGAGACGAAGTTTTGTCATTCTCACTTCTACAGAGCATTCTGACCACAAAATGTAAAGGAAATGTCTAATTATTGACATCAGACAGTAGGTAGATTGGGCTTTGGGATTCTGGTGTCAACTCTATGAAAAAAGAACCAAAAAGCAAACCAAACATGTTGCTGTCAAGTCAATGCTGACTTACGGTGCCCCCACCTGTTACAGAGTGTAACTGAGCTCCTGAGGCTTTTCTTGTCGGTAATCTTTGTGGAAGCAGATTCCCAGGCCTTTCTTCTGTGGTACGGCTAAGTGGGTTTGAATCTCTACTCTTCCTGTTTGATGTTGTTGTTGTTGTTAAGTGCCATCTAGTCGGTTCTGACTCATAATGACCCTATGACCCTGTATAGGCTTTCTGAGGAGTGGTTGGAGAGCTTGAATCACTGACCTTGCCACTGAAAGAAAGAAGGAATACAAAATGTATACACTGAGGTTATCTGAAACATAAAACAATAGGGAAGAATCTAAAAAATGTATGACGTTTACATGACTTTAAGACCAGGAGAACAAGACGTTGTCTACTCTGAAAGGGATCTCACGGGAAGGTCCTAGATAGAGTGAGACAATGTAAAATTAAGCTCATATTTATTAAGATAAATAAATAAACAAATAAAGACCAGACTTACTCCTTAGAAAGAGACTGGAGGAACCGGAGACTGTGGTCCTCGGTTACCCTTCAAGTCTGAAACAGAATTCACTCTCATGGCCCAAATTTCAACCATATATATGGGGCCAACAATACTAGTAAGGTATGCTCACCACGGAATGTTGTTGTAAAGTGCCATCGAGTCAGTTCCAATCCATAGTGACCCTGTATAGGGTTTTCAAGGAGCAGCTGGTGAGCTTGAACCACTGACCTTATAGTTCAAATGGTTTTGCATTCTGGCGCATTAACCCACAGTGCCACACCAGGACTCCATGGAATAGTCAATCATTAAAGTCAATAGTCAATTTAATATTCAATCATTAAAGATCAAAAGGGCAACATTTACTGGGAATAAGGATCAGAGAGTTTGGGAAGGAGGGTGAAATGGAAATGGGAACCACAGGGAGAAAGTGGGATAACTTGTTTTATGGAAGGATTGCCATCACTGAGATGAAACAAAGTGTGTGATTTATTGGATACGAAACTGATAATATGCTCTGTAAACCTTCACTCAATTCACAATAATCTGTGTGTGTGTGTATGTGTGTGTGTGTGTGTGTGTGTATGTATAGGTGCTCTGGTAGTGTAGCAGTTACATTTTGGTTGGTAGCTTAAAAGTCATCAGTTCAAAACTACCAGCCACTCTGCAGGAGAAAGGTGAGGCCTTCTGCTCCCATAAAGTCTCAGAAACCTTATACAGGGTTGCTGTAAGTTGGAACTAACTCACGGCACATAACCACCACCTTATATAAGGAGCTCTGGTAGTATAGTTGTTATGAGTTGGGCTACTAATCTCAAGGTTAGCACTTCGAAACTATCAGTGGTCCACGGAAGAAAGATGAGGCTTTCTATTCCTATAAAAATTGATAGCCTCAGAAACTATGTGGTTCGCTATGAATCAGAACCAACTCCATGGCACATAACCACCACCACCATGTGTATATAGGAGTCCAGGTGTGACACTGCAGGTTAATGCACTTGATTGCAAGGTCTGTTTGAACCACAAGGTGTGCAGTTCAAGATCACCAGACATTAGGTGGAAACCCTAAATAGGGTAATAGGGTTGCTGTGTGTTGGAACCAACACCACACCACTTAACAACGTGTGTGTTTGTTGTTGTTGTTAGGTGCCATCAAGTTGGTACTGACTCATAACGACCTTAGACACAGAATGAAACACTGCCCGATCCTGGGCCAACCTCACTATTGTTGCCACACTGGAGCCTGTTGATGCTGCCACTTTGCCAATCCATCTTGCTGGGGGTCTTCCTCTTTTTCTCTGACCCTCCACCTTACCAAACTTGATATCCTTCTCCAGAGACTGGTCCCTCCTGACAATATGTCCAAAGTATGAGAGACGAAGTTTGGCCATCATGGCCTCCAAGGAGCACTCTGGATGCACTTCTTCCAACACAGATCAGTTAGTTCTTTTGGCAGCCCATGGCACTTTCAATCTTTCAGTATTCTCCTCCAACACCATAACTCAAAAGCATCAATTCTTCTACTGTCTTCCTTATTCACTGTCCAGCTTTTGCATGCATATGAGGTTATTGAAAATACCATGGCTTGGGTCAGGCACACCTTAGTCCTCAAGCTAACATCTTTGATCTTCAACACTTTAAAAAGGTCTTGTGCAGCAGATTTGCCTTATACAATATGTCATTTGATTTCCTGACTGCTGCTTCCATGAGTGTTGATAGTTGATCCAAGAAGATTAAAGTCCTTGACAACTTCAATCTTTTCTCCATTGATAAGAATGTTGTTTATTGGTCCAGTGGTGAGGATTTTTATTTTCTTTACATTGAGATGCAATCCACACTGAAGGCTGTGTCCTTTGATCTTCATCATTTTCTGACACTATATTTGATAGTGTTTCTCTGCTATCCATAAGGTTTTCAGTGACTAAATATTCAGAAGTAGTTTGTCACTCCTCCTTCCTATTCTGTCTTCGTCTGGAAGCTCATCTGAAACCTGTGTACCATGGGTGATCCTGCTGGTATTTAAAATACCAGTGGCATAGCTTTCAGAATCACAGCAACTCACAAGCCACCACAGTACGACAATCTGACAGACTAGTGGTGGATATATATGTCTGTGTGTGTGTGTGTGTGTGTGTGTGTGTGTGTATAGTAAATATATATACACATATATGAATGTATATATGAAGTTTGTGTGGGAAATCAGTATTTAAAATGTTTTTAAAGATGGCATGGTAGAATATTTAGGGTGACATAGATTTATATATCTTTCCTTTTAATAATGTGGCTACTCTAGAAACTCCACTTCAGTTTCACTACAGAGATCTAAATATGTTGCTATCAACTAAAAATATGAGTCTTATTAATCAGAATTTTATACAAAGCTTTTAGCCTTTTAGTTATTGTTCTAAATAGAAATTTAAAAAAGTAATCTAATGTATTTTGAGTATCTCCTTTGGCCAGTAATGATGAAATTGAAGAATTCTACGAACATCTTCAGTCTGAAATTGATCAAATGTGTAATCAAGATGCATTGACAATTGCTGGTGATGGGAATATGGAAATTGGAAACAAAGACACTGGAACAATAGTTGGAAAATAGGGTCTTGGTGATAAAAATAATGCTGCAGATCACAGGATAGAATTTTTAAGACCAATGACTCATTCATTGCAAAACATTTTTAAGCTAAAAGGTGGCATTACAGATGATGTCACCAGGTGGAATACACAAAAGTCAAATTGACTACCTCTGTGGGAAGAGGTGGTAAAAAAAAAAGCTCCAGATTATCAGCCAAAACAAGGCCAGTGGCAGACTGTGGAAGGAGCAGGCCATCAGTGGCTCATATACAAGTTCAGGCTGAAGCTGAGGAAAATTAAAACAAGTCCACAAGAGCCAAAATAAGACCTTGAACATATCCCATCTGAATTTAGAGACCATCTAAAGAGCAGATTTGATGCATTTAGACACTAATGACTGAAGACCAGAAGACTTGTGGGATGACATCAAGAACATCATACATGAAGAAAAAGCAGAAGATCATTTAAAAATAGGAAAGAAAGAAAAGCCAAAAATGGATGTCAGAAGAGACTAAAACTTGCTCTTGATTGTACAGAAACTAGAGCAACTGTAAGAAATGAGGAAGTAAAGAGCTGAACAGAAATTTTCAAAGGGCAGCTTGAGAAGATAAAGTGTTATAATGAAATGTGCAAAGACTCTGGAGTTAGAAAACCAAAAGGGAAGAACACAGTCAGCATTTCTCAAGCTGAAAGAACTGAAGAACAATTCAAGGCTCAACTTGACTATTGAAGGATTCTATGGGCAAAATATTGAATAATGCAGGAAACATCAAAAGAAAATGGAAGACATGCACAGAGTCAGTGTACCAAGAAGAAATAATCAGTGTTGAGCCATTTTAATAAGTATATAATTCAACAACCAATTGTACTGATGGAAGAAGGCCAAGCTACACTATAAGTATTGGTGATAAACAGGACTCCTGGA